TTGTGAAACAAACAATAAATATTCAGTTTTGTCAAATGCCGTCATTTATAATCATCAAGCAAATGAAGATCAAAAATGTTGATCAGTGTTCCTGTTACTGCTGATGATGAACACAATGAGACACTCAAAGAAACTCCACATCAAGAGGAAAACAACACTGAAAAGATCACAGCAATAAACTGAAACACTAAATGCAAAGGAATAAGAATAATGCCCAGAGAGAAATGAAGAGAATTATGGAAAGATGTGATGATGGATAAACAACAAAGAAACTCTGAAAACAAACAAAAACAACAACAACAACAAAAAAACTACAAACTGAAACAAAAGCTCAGTGGATCATTAAAGTCATGACCGTATTAATCTTTCTCAGCTGCAGGACCATCATTAAGCTCTGGTTATTTTTCATTAGTTTTTCAGCAGTAAATCAACATTGCCTGTTGATTGCCAATTAATTAAAATCCTAATTTTTCAGGAATAATTATTGTATTATGGTGCTGGATAATAAAGAAAAATGACTGAAGGAAAATGTCAATTATGTTTTACCTAACTGTAATTTTTTTAAATATATTTTATAATAAACACTGTAAACAACTAAACTTGTGAAAACTAAAAAAATCTAGTCTTCTTCATAAAATCCCTGACCTGTTCCTCATCCACAAACCAGAACTGTTATTCTACACATAGTGGACATCACTGAGGTAGTTTATGGACATATTCAGTTAATCACACCAGAAAAGCAAATTCTGTAGCCAACATCCTCTTTTACAAAGAGGAAGAATGACTCAGGTTACAGGATTTCATACATCGACTAGAGCAGGAGCTTTTTAGATCTTTGCTCATCGACTGAAATTTACAGCCTTTATACAGCTGGTGATTGACCAGGTAAGAACATTTTATGAAGTTTACATATTTTGCAACTTTTAAAACAGAAAACTAACTTCTTGTCATTAGAATAGTTGAATTTGGTGTCATTATTTTTACTCTATTTTGGATATGTTATGTAACTTATACATAAAGATGTATATATGGTTGAATGTGATTGTTTTGTAACACAGTAGGAAATGTATGTTCCTGACTACTTTCTAGTAAATCAGTTTTAATTCCCTGACAAAGACGAAGAAAGCTTTATTCAAAAATGTCTTTGATTAGAAACTGAAATGTTTCTGTTTCTGAAACCTTCTCCAGTTTGACAGATGAAGGTCTATCAGAGTCTGACTGAGAACATGCTGACAGTCAACATGTTACTGAGTGTCTTCTTTCTTCCAGGTGAGATTTTTATTCACTTCCTTTCATTGGTAGAGTTCATGTAAATCACTTCAAGTCTAAAATATTTGATCATGTTGTCTGTAGTCTCCACACGACAGAAGCTGCAGCTGAACTGGAGTTTATAGATCATGAACTTTCTCTGCAGGCAGATTTTCATCTTTATGTTCATTATTGGTCTGGTTTTCAGGTGCTTTGGCTAATAACTGTGGTGGTAAAACACCAGCCCTCAGGATCACTACACCAAATATCATGGAAGCTCTGACTGGATCTTGTTTGCAAATCCCATGTACCTATGAAACGGAGGATCCTAGATATGACAGCAGTAAAACTATCTATGGAGTTTGGTTGAAAGGTGGTGTAAATTTTGGGGCCAATCCAAGCCTTGTTATTTTCCACAGCAGTGGGTCAATTAACAAATATTCACTGAATATGACTGGAAACCTGAAAGAGAAAAACTGCACCACTCTGTTTCCTGATCTACAAACAAGTCATGCAGACAAATATTACTTCAGAGTTGAGAACGGTGACTACAAGGGAACAGCTTGTGCTGATCCTCTTCAAATAAAAGTTAAAGGTAAGAACATTTTCACCATATTATATTATATGATATTATATGAAGATGTTCTGGTTATATTGTTAAGCTTGCGTACTACAAGTATATTTAATCTTTTTAAATTGTAGCTTTTAAAACCTTCTGTCACAATATGCTTTTATAGCCACTGCAAGAAGAGCTGACCAGTTTGATCTTTAATTCATTAGTTTGTGGCATTTTAATGTTTACATTTACCCTCCTGCTTTGTTCGTTTCTGAGGTACAGCAATAATGTTTGTGGATCAATTTTTTTCAGTGGGTGATCTTTATAATTGAACTTGAGACACGTATACTTCACTTAGTCAAACTGACTCGTTGATTAAAATCAAGACAAATGAGTGATGCAGAGTATTTATGTTTCCCCCCACTGCCTCTGAGTGTCAGTGTGGGTGGAGTTTGCCCACAGGAACAGAAAAGGTTCCCGTCAAAAGTTGCATGAACACCTGCTTTCTAGCAGTTTCCTAGTGAAGTAAAGAGAATAGTGAGAAAGTGTGCATGCATGTGTATAGTGTGTGGTGAAATACATCTCATAGCTGCAAAGAAACGTATAGAATAGGACATTTTTTTAATCTTATTTTACCCTTCAACTTGACTGTCAGGTCAAATTGACCTGAACAGTATCTATGTAACATGTAGAACCGGGGGGATGTGTAAAAAGAAACATTTTCAATTTATATGTAGAGTGAATCTATTAAGACAAAAGAGACAAAGTTTCATGCAAACAAAAAAAAACAATACTTCCGACTATTTTAAAAAAATATGTAAAATTTAAACCAGGTCAATTTGACCGGCAACATAACAGGAGGGTTAAGCTCTTTCTGAAAATATATTAAGATATACTCCAAATATTTATTATTTTATTAATGTAAGGCCAGAAAGTATCAGTTAACTTTAAGAAATATTGACTGAATGTGTTGCAGATATAGATGTCATAGTTCTTTTGCTTGGAACAACTGAACAGTTTTGGAGCACATTCAAGCAAATCTTTATTTTGTACAATGAATGTGATTTAAATCTAGTTTAACTTCCAGATTCTCCTTGGAGTCCCAGCATTAATGTTCCCTCTGACCTGAAGGAGCATCAGTCTGTCACTGTAACCTGCTCAGCTTTCACTCCCTGTCCACACTCCCCTCCGCAACTCACCTGGAATCTCCAACAAGACTCTCTCAGACAAACAGAGAAAAACACAAATGGAACCTTTACAACTAAAATCCAGGAGAACATCACTCTGTCAGACACACATGATGGATACAACATCACATGTTCTGCCAGATATCCTGTGATTGGAGGAAACAAGACAGCAGAGACAGAAATAACTCTCAGTGTCTCATGTAAGTAATCCTGTCAGCAGGTCATGGTTCAGCTGTTTGTGATCAATAAAGTTCATGTGTCTCATTTTCCTCAGATGCTCCTAGAAACACCTCAGCATCCATCAGTCCATCAGGTTTGGTGTCAGCAGGTAGCTGGGTGGAGCTGAGCTGCTCCAGCAGAGCCAAACCTCCACCCAGATTCACCTGGTTCAGGAACAGCAATGATGGAGCCACTAATGTATCTGTGGGGAAGATGTATGGATTCAATGCTACAGAGGGAGGAGAGTTTTACTGTGTGGCCAAAAACAATCTGGGAAATGAAACATCTTCAAGGATCTGTGTTAGTTTTAAAGGTAAATGTTGTTACTTCTTGCTTCAAATCATTTCTGATTCTTAAAGTGTCTGACATTTAAATGTAGATCAATAGCATCAGAAGCAGTTATCTTAAAAATGTGAGCAAATACTGACCAAAATCTTTTCGATCCCATCTTTGGGATTTTATTATTCATTACCTATAATTTGCTCTTTTTTCAAGGTTTAATGGTTTTCCAACTTACACCTGCAATTATTTGAAAAGCAAGCATTGAGAGCAAACATTTAAATTTAATGGATTTTTTCCTCTAATTCACAAACAAATCTAATTATTTTTAGATGGTTTTGAAATTACAATTCATATTTGACCACTGTCCTTGTCAAAACTGGTAGATTTTAATCTAGAAGAGGTAAAGACCAATCCATAAGCACAATGCCAGCCTTCTTTATCTATTTCAAATTATATGATGATGTATGTCAGAAATCAATGTTTGTAATCCACTCAGCTGTAATAAAGCTTTAAACAGACTGAACAGCTCTGATGACATACATAAGGATGTTTTAAGATCGATCCTGCAACTGTCAAAGTATAATCCTGTCAGAAACATGGTGTTATTGTTCACAGTGATGCAAGTTTCAAATCGAAATAGATTAATGCAGTGTTGATAAAAACAAAATAACTTTTCTAAACTATAAATCTTGTATGTAAAGCCAATAATAGGTCAAACATTTTCCAAAGAAATGATTTATGATTAGAGGAGACAAAGACTGAGCTGTTAAGTCTCAATGAGGCTTTAAAAAAAAAAGAAGAGATCAAGATAGAGGTTATGGCTATATTCAAATTAGTGTATTTCACAAAACTGCAAAATAAAAGCACTGCGATTATGGACTTGTGTTGTTTTGACATTAACTGAATGTTGAAATGTTTTTCTCTCATTTGTAATGGAAACACAGCAACTCGTGGTAAATGTCTGGATTTTAGACACAATTTGGTGTTTCATCAGGACCATAATATTGAACTGATATGAAAAATGTTTTTTTAAAGGTTAACACAGTCTAACATTAATGATGTAAAACATTCACATTTTAAATGTTTATGTAAACTGGTTCTTCCTCACACTAATATGTTTCATATTTTATGCCCCAGATTCTCCTTGGAGGCCCAGCATTAATGTTCCCTCTGACCTGAAGGAGCATCAGTCTGTCACTGTAACCTGCTCAGCTTTCACTCCCTGTCCACACTCACCTCCTGAACTCACCTGGAATCTCCAACAAGACTCT